CCCCTTTTGAGGATGTTACGGAAAGGATGACCCCCAAGCAGGGTCACAAAGAGTCAGATATGACTGAAATGACTGAATAACAACAACAACAAATGGAAAGGATACCTACTCAAATATTGGTTATAACCTTTGATATCTCTTCCCTGCTTGTTAGATTCTATGCCATTCTTCTATCAAAAGCACTGCCAAAATAATTCACAAATAAGAACAATGTAGTTGTTGAGATAAACATAGTATGGAACATGCTGGGAACTTTACATGTATTTCTTGGAAGTGATAATATGTATTGAATGAGTATTCAAATATTACAAAAATTATAGAAATATTAAAAAGGAAAATATTACTTACTGTCTATCTTGACTAGAATCTTAGAGTTGGAAGGGATCCTTAGAAATTATCTACTCCAACCTCCTATCCTAAATCAGAATTTTCTCTAACCGTCATTGGCATATGGTTGCTCAGCCTCTCTGCTTGAATACTCCCAGGACAGGAAACTTCTTACATAACAAGAGAGGATAATTCATTTTTGGACATCTGTAATTGTTACAAAATTGTTCCTTAAATTGAACCAAAATCTACCTCACTGTTACTTCCACACATCTATCTTCATTTTGTCCTCTGGAACTCTACTGAGTTAGTCTAATAACTCTCTAAAGTTATATCCTTTCAAATAATTGCAGAAAACTGTCATGATAAGTCTTTTTTTTCTTATCAAAGTATGAATTTGTGTCTTTTCAGTCCTTTACAATTTACAAAGTGGTTTATGTTCTGCACACTTTCATCTTTAGGCCAAGATTTCCCAAGTCCTTATAAAACATGGTTTTGAACTTCCTTCTTCCCTAGGCATGCCCAAGTTTGTCAATACCTCTCTTAAAATTTGATTGGCACAATCAGTGCTGGGATGGGTGGAAAGATGGTAACTGAGACATTTGTGGTACTAACCCTAGCTTTAGCTTTAAGTAGGAGCTAACTTGAATTCAAAGAAAGGTTTATTACCTCCAGGAATTCCTTCTTGTAACTGTCCAAGGTAAACAAGTCTGGAACCAAAAACAGCTTGTTGGGGGAAAGTGTTGCCATCTTTCTTTCATTACTCAGTATATAATCACATTATCATATCTAGCATGAATCCAGAGTTCCCAGTACCAGCACATTGAATGAATTGTCTTGAAAGAGAGATGTTAGAAAAATGTAAGAACAACTGAGGTGCTTGGACTGAAGTCTGCCTCCCTCTAAATAGAAAAAGTGTCTTACAGGGGATTGTGTAGGCAAATACATATTGGGTTTAAAAATGGGAAATTATTAAGTTATTTTTTAAATGTTATTAATGTCTCTTGTTTTTGCAACACAGTTATTTCCACATATTACCCAACTCTCTAACCCCTAAAACTCACCCTCATAATAAAGAAAAAGAGTTAAAAGCAAAACCTACAAATACAGACCTAGTTTGCTGATGTCTGCCACATTCTGCCCTTATGGCCTTCCACCTCCCTACTGAAAGAAGAGGAGTGACTGCTTCCTCATCTCTTCTACAGGGTCAATTGACTGTTATGGAAATTAGTAATTTAAAAAGAATGAACATTATGTGTATAAATGAAAATTGGTATTAACCCTTTCAATCTTGATGAGAACTTTTTATATTTTATATTGAACAGTGAAGTCAGAAGACTTAGGTTCCTATCCCAGCATTAATAATTCCTGTGGGGGCAGCTAGGTGGTACAGTGGATAGAGCACCAGGCCTAGAGTCAGGAGGACCTGAGTTCAAATCCAGCCTCAGACCAGACACTTGACACTTATTAGCTGTGTGACCCTGGGCAAGTCACTTAACCCCAATTGCCTCACCAAAATAATAATAATGATTCCTACCTGTATGACCAATGCAAGACATTTTCTCATTTGTAAAATGGGGTAATACTTATAATAACCTTATGAGGTTATTGGCAGTAAAGTACTTTATAAATCATAAATTGCTATAAAAATGTGACATGTTTAAATGACAATCCAATAAAATATTAGCTTCAGTTTGGAAAAAAAAATTGGAGTCATGGTTAGAAGAGTTCAATTATAATATATAGTATTTATATGTGCTTTGATTATAAAGCTCATCTCATTTTAACTCACGACAATGCTAGGATACAGGTGCTATTATGATCCTCATTTAATAAGGTAACTGAGGCAGTTAAAGGTTAAGCTCAAGGTCACAAAGCTGAGGTCTGAAACTGGATTTGAACTCAGGTTTTCCTGACTCCAGGTCTGGTATTCCTATCCACTGTGCTACCTAACTGCAGTTTTGCTCTGTTACTTATTAGCTGTGTGATCATAGGAAAAATACTCTACTTCTCTGGGCCTCAATGCCCTCACTTGTAAAGTGAGGGGTTATATTAGATGATCCAAAAAGTACTTTCCAGCTCTGACTTTATGTGATACTGCAATTCAATGAACATGTATTAAATGTCTTTGATAGGAGTGAGGCCTTGTTTATGGGGCCTAGGCTGATCCTTTGAGAAAGCCAAGGAGGCTGTTTTGCCTTGTTGTTCCTTGAGGCACAAAAGGCCCAGCCCAAAAGATTTCTATTAAGTGGAAGAGGCTTGTAAGCAATTGGTTAATTAGCCCATAGGAACTTTCTAACAAGCCTGCCATTCATAGATCACAGATTTAAAGCTAAAAAGATGAAGAAATTGAGGCCCAGAGCTGATAGTGATTTAGCCAAGGCCACACAAGGATTGGAGTAGAGCCCATGCGGGCCATCTTAGTGAGGCTAGGGCCAATGTTCTTTCTACTGTACCATGCTGCCTTCATTCTAATACAGGTAGAAAAATCGCATTTATCCCTTTTTCAAGATCACCACCTATATGACTATGTTTATTAAAGAAAAACTGTTATAAATCAGGTCTTAGTTTGGCTAAAATTTTTCTTCTATCTATCTTGTATATACATAGTTGTTGACATATTGTTTCCTTCATTAGAATAGGAGCTCCTTAAAGACAGAGATTGTGCTTTTGCCTTTCTTTTTATCTCCCGACCCCTGATGGTTTGTGGTATATCCCCAGTCAGTCAATCAATAAGCATTTAAGTGTTTATTATGTGCCTGGCACTATGCCATGGACTAGTTGCTGTCCTTCATTCTCTAAGAGAACTCAAATGACATCACTATGTTGGAGTCAAGGTGCCATGTTAGTTTCAACCACAGGTCAGGCACAAATAGTCCATATGAACATATGGGGTGGAGATGTTTCTAAATTTGCACATCTTACATTTCTTTTGAGCTACTGCAATTCTGCTTTGCTCACAGAGAACAGCACCTTCTCTGATTTGGGTACACCATGCTGGGTGGTCCTTTGCCAGCATCTCCCATATCACTTGATCAATTCCAAAGTTCTTCAGAAAGAATGTGCCTGGGGGGCAGCTAGATGGCGTGGTGGATAGAGCACCGGCCCTGAAGTCAGGAGGACCTGACTTCAAATCCAGCCTCAGACCAAACACTTGACACTTACTAGCTGTGTGACCCTGGGCAAGTCACTTAACCCCAATTGCCTAAAAAAAAAAAAATGGAAAAAGAAAGAATGTGCCTGGCACTCTGCAAGGACTAGAGATACAAAGAAAGGCAAAAACAGTCCCTTGCTGCAGGAGCTGCCATTCTAATAAGGTAGATGATATGTAACTAGGTACATATAAAACAGATAAAGAAGAGATGAAATGTACCAGAAGCACCTGGAAATGTCACAGAGAATGTCCTATTCTGGAGAATAGGTGTCCTGAAGGCAAACTGTGAAATGCATTCAGTTGTCCTGTGAATCACCATAACTAAACTAATCTAGTAATGTTTAACTATATAAAGGAACTTCAGGTGCTTAGCATTTGGTCTAATAATAACTGGTCTTTTTACATAGTGTTTCAAGGTTTCCACAGCACTTTTACATATATTACCTCACCTGATTCCTGTGGAGTTGCTCCTAAGGTGTCATCATCCCAATTTTTCAGATGAAGAAAATTAGACTGACTCATGGTCACAAAACTTGTAAGTATCTCGGGCAATTTGTACTCATGTCCCCTGACTTTAAGTTCAACATTCTATCTACTACACCTACTAACTCTAAGAGGGAAGGGGAGGGGGGAGTGGTTAGAATCTGAGGTTTCTATTGTAGACCATGGATATAGCTTAAGGACAAGTTACTTGGCAGTTCTAAGCCATCTGGATCAGAAGAAATCAAGGTGCTGGCAATTATCCTTCCCCTTTTAACATAGCTAAAGCTCAGCCTGATCCTTCAGAGAAATTCCTGAGTCTTTTATTGAAGCCCTTCCACAATTTGACTTCAACCTGATTTTTCAGCCTTACTTTACATGAGTCTGTTCTACACATTCCATATCCTAGCCAAAGTAGACTACCGCTGATTCCCTAATCTTGTCGGTCCTCTCCTTCCTCCATGAATTCAAGCAAGGCTTCCTTCATGCCCGGAACGCACTCCAGATTTCAGGTGCAACATCAAGTTGGAAATCTCAGATTTCCAAGCTCAGCAAAATGTAACTAATGTTACATTTACACATTAACTAGTATAACTAGTTGCACATTGTATTACTTACTAGTTAAATACTGTGTAACATAGCTACACATTAACTAATAACTAGTAACAGTTAGTTTTATTAGTAGTCTTCCATTTTGGCTTGGGTTGCAACCACCACAAAGGCAGCTCATGAGTAAAAATCTGTTTTACCCAGTCCCCACCGTGGAGGGAAAGGACACATTTTAGTAGTGTGAATGACATGTAAGAAGAAACACAGCTGGCACTTAACACAGATAAACAGAGTTTGGTAAATAAAATAGTAGGACCAGCATGGGAAAGGCTGTGTGTGTGTGTGTGTGTGTGTGTGTGTGTGTGTGTGTGTGTGTGT